CAGAAAACAAATGTAGTGGATTACAGAAGTTTCCCTGGTGAAGAAAAAAAACCTTCTCAACAGTTGAATTTTGGTATGAATTTTGGTGCCAGATGGGCTGGTTTGAATATTTCTATAACTGCTTATCTCCCGGGATTTTCACACACAATAGTCTCTAGAGTTTATTGCCATATGGTGCAATAAAGAAAAACATCCGGTGAGCGGCAGTTCTACGGACGGAAATGCCTTGTTGATGAGAGAGGTCAGTGGAGAATGGCGAGACTGGTTTGAGCTGACAGAAAGGCTACAGTAACTCATATAACCACTCTGTACAATGAATGTCCGAGGAGTTTTTCCAATATTTTGTGGAATCCATGCCACAAAGAATTGAGGCTGATTTGAGAGCAAAGTGAGGCCCTACCCAGTATTAGTATAGTATTCCTAAATAAAGTGCTTGGTGTGTGTGTGAGAGATTTTCCAGTTGTCCCATAACATGGCCAGATAGCTGACAGATCTATGCCGATATAACATGCCGTATGATCGGGGATCTTCTGTCCTGCTGTTGAAGTTATAGGCCTGTTGTAGGTAATCACGTGTATTAAGGTAGTCGATTATCAGTTTAACTAAAAATGAATATTTGAAATGACATACAGACAATAACTTTGATGCAGTCAGTCTACTATTCAGTCCTCAAAATGGCAACAAATATGCACTGTGATGTCACATGAAATGCAAGTATCATATCACAGTTTTGAGCTACTAAGAGTCACACTGAGAATCCTGTAATACAGGGTGTCCCAAAGGTCCCCATACTTAGGGGAAATTAACGCTTTTTAGCAAAATTTTTCACACTTAGTTTATATTATATTGTTTTTTCAGATAGCCTTTAAGAATCCCTTTGACAAAAGAAGAACGTATTGAAATCATTCTCATGGCTGGATCAGGGAGCTGTCGCAAGGTTGCGGTGGATTTAACAGGAATACATCACACACGACAGTGTTGCCAAACTTGTTAACAAATTCAAAAAGACTGGGAGTGTTGTGGGACGTGAACGTCCACGTGACGAAGACACAGCCAACGTGGTGCTGGCATACATGGTCCCCTATGTAAGGAGACTTTTGGGACACCCTGTATTATTAACACTCAGTGACGTGTCAGGGGTGTCGGTTTAAATTTGGTAGGAGGTTTGTATTCGTACGTCACATGCCATCTGAGATGTCATATATCATTACACCCAAACTTCAGGCATGAATGAGGGTTAGCTACAAAAGCCAAACATGGGAGAGTTTGAGAGTGAAAGAGTCTGATCTTTCACTATAATAGGAAAATGTATTCAGGGCTGATGCTGTTTTAGCTTTTATTTTTTATGAACAGGTAAGGGATTATTTTGGTCTCCAGTTTGGCTGTTAGTTACTGAATGATAAATGAGTCAGCCAATTTATCCTCATTGTGACTGTTCAGTCTGTGAAATTACAACAGGTCAAGTATCTTCCCTTAAACCCAAGCTTATATTGTAGCTAGTTGCTGATGTTAGGCTGATTATGGTCCCACAGAATGACTATAGGATGGTGATGCAGCGGTACTGCTGCTTGATCAGGCAGTCACAGTAAAAGCAATGGCTGATGGTAGCTAAAAAAAATCATGCTCTTGTTGAGAGGTTTTGTTTATTTGTCTGGTACTTAGTAACAGTGGTGGTCAAATTGAAGTGCACAATAAATTTTTTTTTTTTATTTCCATAACACTTTTGTAATACTGAGCAGTCATGAACGGATACTTGGGCTGTGTCCCAAGATGCACACTACTGTACTAAATAGTATGTCACTACACCATTGGTGTCTTTCCTATTTAATACTACTTTAAGACAGTCTTGAATTCTAATTGTGTGCACTGATTAATGAAGGAAGAGCACAGCACAACCCATGTTATAAAATGTTCTTCCAAAAGTAGCTTGCAGTAAAGCTTTTCTACCAGATAGGGCCAAATTACATCCATTTAATTACATTAAATCTTACATCCTGTAGCTTTAATCATCACTGTTATTCACCATCAGATAAAGGTTTTATCCATTTATTTCCTTGCTCTTTAGTGCCACCAAGAGACGATCTATAAAGGGGGCAGCAGGTCGTCCTGTGCAGTTCAAATACCCAGAAACCCCGCTGAGTCCTGCCACGCTGGAGAGACGGGAGATCCAGCAGCGTCTGGTTCCTCTGTGGGTGCAGATTGCCATCTTCTTTTTGGTGGCTGCTCTCCTATACTTCATTTACATATCCATGGAAGAGCCGCTGGAGAATCCTTTCGGCGCATTGCTAAATGGCCTGAGTCAGGAGCCAAGCAGCGATGACCTTGCACTTGTCCCTAACTCTCAGGACACACACACCTGAGACAGGGTTTATTATGTATTGGACTTACTTGCATAGAATTTCATAGTAATAGAGGGGTTGCAGAATTCTCTCAGTTCAAGTCAAATACACCTAGCTGTATATGGTTTGATCTGTTCTTGTATTTGCTTGTGCAGGCTTTTACCTTTTTGGAAGTTATCTACTGTTCACTTAAGCAGAATCAATCATATGAACTGGTGAAGTCATGCTCGGAGAGCCACAGGGACCCATGTCTTACCCACAGGAGTACTGTACGTTCATTTGTTTTTATTCCATTGTGTAATGTTGTTAAATAAATAAATGGTTGAATAGGTCTGAGTACTGTTGTATGTAATAACATTTTTTAAAAACCTAAACTTAATTTAAGAGCATGTTATAAATGTATAAAATACTTGCTTTTTATGAGTGCATTCAAGTTTCCGTTTATTAACATGCTTTAAGCTTTCAAAATGTCACTTTTTTTCTATTCAAGTGCTGATACATATACTAAGTTACTTTTTATTCCACAACAGCAGGTGGCGTGTGTGTGTGTGTGTGCGTGCGCGCGCGGTTTAACGTAACAGCAGTGTTGCCAGGTCCGCGGTATTTAAATAGCTTTTTTAATTCCACGTTTATGACTACAATATAGTGAAATAACAGGTTAATTAGTGTAGATAAAAAGCATAGTAAATGCATAGGAAGTTAGGATATGTTTGCTTTAATGTAGAGTTTGAACATGAGTGAAATGGTTTTCTATATGACTTTAAAATTAAAACATGCTTTGGGCGGTTATATTTCGACTAAGCTCTGGGGAGATTTATCACATAGACCTGGCAACCCCACTTTCAGCCACTCATTTACTTTGTGAAAAATGACAGGTCACACCGCTCTGCCGAGCATGATCAGATTTCTGAAAGTGGTGGCGTTAAGTGTGGTATTCACGCTGCTTATTTTGTTTCTCGTGGCTACAGCAAGGACTTTTACTTTAGAGGTAAATGCAGGACTTCAGCTTGCACAGTGGGAAAAAACAACATACATATCGGCTGATGTAAGCACAGAACAGAGGGAAGTCCTGCTCGCAAATTTCAAAGGTAACCGAATTGAAGTCCTGCTGACTTTAGTTATGTGGCAGGAATTGACTGTGTGTTTGAGTGTAAATCTCTAATTTCAAACATGCTAATGAGTCTTATTAAGATGGCGGTACACTTAAAAACAGTAAACAACTCCTCGAAAAAGACCTTCCGCCGAGCAGGCAGCTATCTGTAAACTCCCAGTAACACTCTGTACGTCTTTCTGGGACAGTCTGTACTGTTACAGCACAAACAAACGCAGATTTCTACAGGTGAGCCACAGTGCGGCCTGCAGCCTGACAGAGGGGTTACACACCACGGAGGGACTACACGTGAATTCTGCCCATAAGTGTTTTGATTGGTTGGTAGCTTGTGGCTGTTGTAGTGGTGGGCGGGGAAGCAAAGTTACCCCGCCTCATGACGCCTTGTGATCTGAGAATAAGCGATTATGAATTCAGTGCGTTTATATTTAGTTGTATGTTTATACCAATGAGTGGATAACATGGCGCCATTCACTCCCATTCTGTGTTTTTGAAGCCTTTTTGGGGTCGAAATGGGAGGAGTAGAGACCTTGGGGACTGCCCCTCACCCGCCCATATTAGTGATGGACACCCGGAAACTGAGCATGCGCAATGGGTCCACCCATATTAGTGATGGACACCCATAAATCGGCTAACTCCAAGTGGCAAGTACAGTCTATAATTTTCACAGCTATATCGATTTTACTGTTGTCAGGAAAAGATTTTAGAGCCTTGAGTCATGACTGACTGAGATACCATTTGCTACCTACAAACAGAACTCAACATGTACACTCAACTTATTTCTAAAGGAAAAACATTGCTGCTGTCTGTGATTTTCGTCTACATCTGACACCTACAGTATGATACCCACCTGAATGGAGAAGTGCGCTCTTACTCTGCACTCATTCCGTCAGTGGAGTTCATTTAAACAGGAGAGACTGGCTAACCTTACTAAGATATTTCGAGTGTTAGCTTAAGGTCATACAGTCAATCGTAAATTATGTTGAAATTTAGCTAGCTGCCTTGCTTTATGCCATCACTTTGTTTACTCAGGTTGGTTAGCTAGTTATATCAGTACAACGAGCTAGCTTAGAAATCAAAATGAGCAACACACCAGCAAAACTGCAAGAGACCTCCCAGATGAGGTCTGAGGATCTGTTAGTACAGTTTACAGCAGAAAAGGCCATGGCTTAGTTACAAAACTCTCAAGAGCTTCAGGTCCATGTTGGAAAGTATGTGCATGTTCATGAGACTCGGCCTCTGTGTACAAAACTGTCAATCACCTCATCAACCATGTTACGGAACTTGCAAAAATGCCATAACACTATTCCCAAATAATAATTAGTGGAGCAGTAACTTAAATGAAAGCTTGCCATCTGTCCCAATCACTAACATGGGAATGGGCGGGGTTAAGAATTGTACCGCAGCCAGCCACTAGAGGGCCTTAGAAACATTGGCTTCACTTTTGAATCCAAACACTTTTGAAAACAAACAATTTTCTTGTCTGTGTATGCAAGTGTTTTATAATAAAGAACTCAAGTACATTTTAGCTGTTTATTCAAAGTGAAGCATGATACCTAGAGGACTAGTGGTTAGGCCTTGGAGCTCTCACCGCCGTGGCCCGGATTCGATTCCCAGCCAGGGAACCAACCCCAGCCACTAGGGTTGCACAAGACAGTGCACTCCCACTTCTGGTCCCAAGCCCGGATAAAACTGGGGAGAGTTGCGGCAGGAAGGGCATCTGGCGTGAAAACTGTGCCAAATCAAACATGCGGACCAGTGATCGGCTGTGGCGAGCCCTAATGGGAGCAGGCGAAAGAACAACAACATTCAAAATTAAGCACCTTTCAAACTGAGAAAATAGAACAACAGGATTATCATAACTACATGCATTATCTCTAATGATAATTACAGAATCGAAGGGTAGCTTAGAAATATTTCATGGCTGTCCTGTCGCATCAGGCACAATGTTGGAGTGTTTGTGTATTTTGCAAAGCACAAAAAACATGAAATGAATCTGCTTAATGAAGCACAGACACAGCAGGCACAATAACATGGATGCAGGGATGCTTGCGGTATGCTAATTTGTAGTGCTTTGCTTATTTTACAATTATCTATACAGATTTTATAAAATGCAATGCAAAACAATATTTTGTTAATTAGAGTGTAGAGTAAGATTTTGGGGAACAATTTGAGCCATAGTTAGGCAAAGAAGAATAATCACTGGTCAAGGTATTGTAAACTTGGTGCATTTAGAGAAAAATATGGCAGTGAGCTCTTTTGGATCTGATTCACTGAAGAGATGGAATTCCTGTCACTAATATCTCAGTATTACAGGCTGCACATTAAACAGGAAGTAGGTACATTGTTGCTGTGAATGAAAAATGATTGGATAAAAAATGCACACCTATCATTTACACAACCAATCAAATTCCTCAGTATTAGTTCCTCATTGAAAAGCATCTCAGTTGAATTTAATGTCACATATTTTTTTTTTATATGTTTTCGCTTCATCTCTTTATTGCTGTATCTTGTGCTAATTGTGACAATAATGGACTTCTTATCTCATCAGCTAGACACAGTTCCATATGGTGCATTCACAAATAAAATAACACAATTACATGAATATTAAACAAAAATGATGCGATGAATTGGTGTCCCATTCAGGGTGTCTTCCTAGCATCCAGTGTTCCCAGGATAGGCTCCAGGGTAGAGCAGTTACTGAAGATGAATGAAAGATGCCCGATGTCTCTGCGAAATCATGGCTTTATATATGAAAGATGGTTTTAAACAGATAGGAGGTCAAGTGGAAAAAAATATATTTTTTCTGTTCCTTTTACCAGAGGCCATTCGTATTCCCACTGTGTCATTCTCAGAGACTCACCAGAACACAAGTGCTCTGCAAGAGTTTGCCCATCTTCTAAAAAGAGGTTAGACATTCTTATGGTCTGGACACAGGCCCAGACTAAACTTAATCAATCGCTAAAGGTTAACAACCATTTGATATTTTTTCTTGTTACTTGGCATCTGCCTGCGACTATAAGTTGACTTTCATCTGCTTGTCTCTTTCAGTTTTTCCAACAATCTTCTCATCCAGTCTGGTTAAGCATGAGGTGGTGGGGAGCTACAGCCACCTGTTCACCGTGTCAGGCACCAATCCCGAGCTGGTGCCTTACATGCTCCTGGCACATATTGACGTGGTGCCAGCCAATGAGACTGACGGGTGGGAGGTGCCGCCCTTCTCAGCCAAAGAGCTGAATGGATTCATTTATGGACGAGGGACCATCGACAATAAACAGTCTGTCATGGTATGGTGGGCCTAGTGGGCAGCAATTTCCTTTTGTTGGTTAAAACAATATTACATTTGTCTGTGCAAACTGCTTCTGAATATGATTACATCTGCCCGTGAAGGGGATCCTTCAGGCTCTAGAGTACTTGTTGCAGCGAGGATATGTTCCACAGCGAGGGTTCTACGTTGGCCTGGGTCACGATGAGGAGGTGAGACACTCGCATACATTAACGATCATGTTCAAGTCCCTCCTTAGCAGTGAATGTCCCTTTGAGCCACATCATCTCTTTCGGTTTCATAGCACTAAATTTGTAAAATCTATTACAAAGACCCCATTATATTTCACATTATTACTGAACGATTCTTAAGGAAATAGACACAAAAACCTGTTCACATAACTGAGGAGCCTTCTGATAGCAGGCCTGAGTGCAACAATGAAGTAAAATGAAATATTAAAGGGACTAAAATCGTTTGTTTAAAATGTACATAGAACAGTTTGTTAATGTTAAATAATATGAATATTTTTACATTTCTATTTTATGTTCATTAGAGAATATGAGCCATGCGATTATATTTTGAAAAGCCTTTTTTTTTTTTTTTTTTTTAGCATTGTTACAAATAAAATTAAAATAATTGAAATGCGGCATTTTAAGGTGAATAGAATAAAATGTTACAGTACACAAGCATTCTTCTCACGATTTCTGTGTTTTAAGCAAAACCAAATGACTGCAGTTTTGGCCTGATGATATTTGACCCTCTGTTTTTTTCTGCACAGATCAGTGGCTATGCTGGAGCAGTAAACATAGTCAAAGTGCTGAAGAGTCGTGGGGTGAAGCTCCAGTTTCTTGTAGATGAAGGCCTTGCAGTACTGGATGAAATTATAAGTGGTCTGAATGGACCAGCTGCACTGTGAGACCTTTTTAATGAGTCTTTTCACTTTATGGTCTCACATACACTCTGCTCCGGAATTACTGGCACCCTGGGTAAAGATGGGTAAAAAGGTTATGAAAAAATGCTTTTGTGGTTAATTACCTTAATCCCTCCCAAAAAAAATACGAGAAATGTAACCATTAATTGAAGTAAATTTATTTTAAAAATAAAAACACAACTACCTGTATCAAAATAATTGGCACCTGTGCTAATAGTACTTTGTAGAACCTCTGTTTGCCATCATAACAGTACTGAGTCTTCTCCTACAATGCTTGACGAGAGCTGAGAATACACACTAAAGAATTTGAGAGCACATCTCCGTACATAACCTGTTCATATCCTTCAGGATCCACCCACATGTGTTCAGTGGGATTTAGGTCAGGGGAATGGGATGGCCATGTCAGAACAGAAGCTTGAGTCTGTTGAGACCGTTTTTGTGTGTATTTGGATGTATATTTTTGTTCACCGTCCTCCTAGAAGATCCAGCTACAAACCAGGTGTAGCTTCTTGTCATAGGCAGTAGCTTCATGTCATAGGTTTTCATTTAAAATTGACTGGTTGTTCAGGGAGTCCATAATACCATGTATCCTAACAAGGTGCCCAGGGCCTTTGGACAAGAAACAGCCCCACAGCATCACAAATCCTCCACCATACCCAAAAGTGGGGTTAGGTTCTTTTCTGTATATCTGTTCTTCTATTTATGCCAAACCAGCACTGAGTGCTTGTTGCAAAAAGTCAATTTCTCTTATATTTTGTGGGAGAGCTTAAGCCCATTAAACACAAAGACATTTTTCTTAGGCTTTTTTTTTTATATCCATCTTTACCAAGGGTGCCAATAGTTCTTGAGGTGTGCCATATGAAATTACCCTCTTTGTTCTTTTCAGACTTGGGTTTATCCAGGTGTTTTTCTCATTTGCAGGATCGGTATCACAGAGAAAGGGCAGGCCACAGTAAAGCTGAGTGTCAGTATGAAGCCAGGTCATTCCTCCATGCCTCCCAAGCAGAGCAGCATTGGCATCCTGGCTGCTGCGGTCACAAGGTGAACTGAAACCACACAACCTGCTATTACCATGTATAATTATTGTTATTCTTACCCTTTCCCCTTATTTCATCTTATACTTACACATGATTTGTCTTCTTATGAAAACATCTGCATTCTTGTATCCCCCAATTAAGAATTCTGACTTATCCATTAACATTAAAAACTACATAGTTACTTTCGCATTAAAGGAAGTATGTTGCAAATTCAAAACCACAATCATTACAATCTACTAATAAATGTCTTAGAATGAGACAAGTGTGAGAGAAAGTCTTATCAAAGCTGTTCCTATGACCTCACCAGCGCTGGTTCAAAATTGCCTATGTGTCTACGCTGATAATACATAACTACAAATTCTCCCTTTTAAAAAGCTTATCCCAGCTCTAATAGAATGAATTGTACATATTTAGTTGTTAATCTGCAAATATCTCTGACTTAAAAAAATGCACGAAAGCGTTCTACAAAGATACATTGCTTCGTTCTTCTTCAGTGACTGCTTTATCCTAGTCCGAGTTTCAGAATACTACCCTATTACCCATCACAGGGTATCCCACACACATTCATTTACACCTAGGGGCAATTTAGCATAGCCTCTCTACCTACCAGCATGTTTTTGGGAGGTGGGAGGAATGCTACCACGCTGCCCTACAGAGATATATATTTGTCGCAATAACGTTTATTGGCGCACAATCTATTGCGTAGATTTGTACAAGAGAGTACAAAAAAGATTTTTTTCTGACTTTCCAGAAAAAAAGATGAACATCACATTAGCTAACTTTGTTTTCAGAAAAAGCATCCAGTATTTTGCCCTGTTCTATGTGCAGGTTGGAGGAATACCCAATGCCTAGACTGTTTGGCTCTGGGCCTGAGCAAAGCACTTTCGAACACCTTGCACATAAGGTAAATCTAGAAAGGGAAAAACCATATTCCAACATTGTAAAACAATGAGGTGACGTAAATGCATTCGATTAATCCTCTGTGATTTTTGTTGCAGTTTGGCCTGCCTCTCAGATTCATCATGTCCAATTTGTGGCTCTTCAGCCCTTTGATGAGCAGGTCATAGATATGTTGTATAGTATTATTGCATGCAGAACACGGTGCTAACTATAGTATAATCTGCTCAAGATGAACTCCCAGTGACACTGCTAATTATTTATGCGCTTGACCTAAACAGAAGTGTATTTCCAGGGTAATGGAGAGGAAGCCTGATCTGAATGCTTTTGTGCGGACTACCACAGCAGTCACCATGTTCAACTCTGGTGTGAAGGTAGAATACTGTTACTTCTTCTGTTAATACGAACACTGATTAATCATTTGAATGTATGCACCTCATTCCCTCTCCATCAACAGGTCAATATCCTCCCATCACACGCCGAGGCTTTTGTGAA